GTACGAGTACATTGTAGAAAAGGCATGAGAACTTTCAATTTGGTTTTTTGTTGATTCGCTGTACAGCACTTTCAAGTGCGAAAATTCGTGAGATACTGATTTTTAATTTGTTTCGAGGCAGAGGCGTGCATTTTGCGAAACGGACAAAACACGTTGGCAATCGAGCGAAGAATCAAGAAAAAGATTAACGTGGGGAGAAATTAATTTGATGGGGGGGGGGAGGGGGAAGTTGTCGAGCTGGCCGTTCTCGACGTGGTGGTGAATGTTTTTTCTTCTTCTACTTTGAGAAATAAGTAAATGTATGGTACGTTCGTGCACATATAGATGGAATCGTGTCTTTGCGAACGTGAAAGCGACGCGAGTATAAGTATAGGATCTGATCGATGCAAGGTAGGTAGGCAGGTATGTTGGTTGTTGGCCTTGAGTTCGATCCCCTTGCCACTCTCGCCGGCTACCTACCTATAAACATATATATATATATATATATATATATATACACTCGCTCTCGCGCAGCCTTATGTCCGTACGTCACGCTGCGAGCAGGTTGTATTATTTGCCACTCTACAATAAATATTCTCGCCCTCCTTTCCTTTCCTCGCTCGGGCAAACTTTCAACGCGCCTCTGCTAAATGTTGCTCCATAGTTTACTTATAATAATAAGTAAGTATTTGTCTGTCAGTGCTCGCCCGTCACAGGTTTCTACCAAAGCTCGAGCCAAAACTTGTGTACTTTTGATTGCTCGATCGAGCTTTTCAATCAAAATTGTCAAACATTTATGTATACTTTGAGCGTGGAGTTTAGCCAACAGTGCCGTGTTGTTTTTTTAGACATCATATATCAACAAAAGAGCCACACTTTTCTTCATTCGTCGAATAGGTTGGTATTTACCAAATAACCAAAGTAGCAGCAGCAGCAGCAACGATTGTGATGTTGTCGGTGCTGCTGCCTCTTCTTCTGAGACAAGATCAAGTTTCCAGATCGAGCGATGGATACCCGCTTCCCGAGAGAAAACAGGGTAGATGACCCACGAATTGAGTCTCGTTCTGCGATAAAGAAAAACCTGTTTATCTCGTTTTCCTAACAGAAGCCACTCGATACTCCACCCGTGGATTGCTAGCTGTTGTTTTATTCCCCCCGTGCAGGTAAGTACCTACATGCTTACTAAATGAGCTACGCTGCGCATATTATTATTATTATTATTATTATTATTATGTACAGGTATAGGTATGACTATGACAGCAGTAGGGGCATTCCTTTCGAGCGAAAAATCCACACGATTGGACTACACATTTGTCAGCAAAAATTTTTTTTCCTTTTAATTTTTCAATTTTATTTTATTTTATTGCTGTATCACAGCAGCACTGATAAGATTATCATTTTTATAATAACAATTAAGCGCCCCGGTGCACATGGCAGACTCTTTTTTATTTTCCAACATTACACCTATCAGAGGCAAATGAATAAAATAGTTTGGATTTATTATCACACGTACTTCTTTTGGATAACTGCTAGATAAGAAAATGAAGCATATACCTTGTCGTCATAAGTATAGATCGTATTAAAACTACCAAAATATACGAATCGACGGTCCAAGCAGCAGCGTCGAATATTATGATGACACGGAGTAAGTAATAACAAACGGAATCAACGAACGCAACAATTAACAGGTGCAGCGAGGACACCATTGTCGTGGGAGTAATTCGAAGAAGTATATGCTCGTGCATCCATTCCGCAATTTGCGCTCATTTTTCCGTTTCACAAGTTGCGCGATCACTCGAGTCCCCAAGGTGTAGGGTGTGGGGAGGGGGGGGGGGGGAGCACAATGCCTCACTTTGCCCATCGGCTCATAAATATAATCATCTCTCGATATGCCGCGCTACCTCGAAGGCTATTATGTATCTACTTCCTGCCCCCGCTGCTTGGCTCATCTTGGCGATGCTCGGACACGCCGGCACTCACTAAATGCATACTCCCTGTCACATGTACTTTTATTGTGTACATTACTGTCTTATTAATTAACTAATACTAGTTAATGACGTGATCACTCCGTGGCTTGTCTTTTATTGTTTCCCATGCATCTTCTATCTATATATAGCGAAGCAAACACTCTATAAGCGCTAGCTCGATCAAGTAGGCGCTACATTATACTATACCTACTATCTGCCCATGCCTGATTTGTAGATCCCAACAGTTGCGTAACATCTGCTCGTCTGTACATCAACATACACACCCACACGCGCATATAATGTTCACACCATTTGTGTCCAATATGTCTCAATGCCATCGCTTTCGCCTTTTTTTCCCTTGCAAGCGTAAGTAGCTCTAACTGAGCCCTCGGACCTTTACGTTAATTTGTACAACAATTGAGGTGCCGTGCCGCATTTGCAAAATTTAAAAAACCCTGTTTGCCGGAAGTAACGTGTAATTTTTTTTGCCCGAGTATTCTTCATGAATCATATTTAATGACCAAGAAATCGCAGCTAGATTTAACGATTGCGAAGAAACATTGGGGCTCATCACCATCACTTGAATTGCAAATTTCAGCAGAGACAGCAGCGCAAGTATAAGAGAGACGCTGTAACTTCTGGGGAATATCACATTCAATAAATTTCAAAAGCATTGGTCAGTGGTTGTGTGTATTATATTATACACGGACATATCGTGGAAAAAACACCTTACTAGTTTACAACTCGTTTGAAGAAGAACGAATAAAGGGAATAAATCTGAAAATCGTCAATCGAGACTGGTTGCGAATCAGTACTTTTTCTTCATTTCTTTTGTAGATGACGTTCACCTGAACAACAAGCGAGTACCACTAAGCTCCTTCGAGTTTTACCACTCACGCGGAGGTAGCCTGCGGACGTACAATACCTATATAGAATACATATTATATGCAAGCTTCAACTGATAATTACAATACGCACACACACAAAGTTATACGTGTGGCTGTATGTGTTGACAATTTTGGTTGGCCGTGGGCATATTTTATAACCATATACTTATGCCTTTTGCCATTAATTTACATCAATCAAGGATGTAGTTGTAGTTGTACTGAGCATTTAAGAAATGTACGTGAACGAGATGAAACTGAAAACTCCACGAATAAGAGAGAAAGAGAAAAACTTGATGTACATTGTATGTTTTGGAAACGGAGGTGGGTGCTCGGAAGCTGCAGGAAATAAATTTTCGACAGCTGGCGATCCCCAGGGGCTTCGGAGCAAGCCAACGCACTCGCGACTTTACCCGAGCCCAATAGTACACTAGTTATCTACACCCATGTGAGAGCAAGAGCCGTACAGTTTTTCTTTCACGGCAGCAGAACGAGAGTGGAGCGAAGATGCCGAGCAAACATCAGCAGCTGCTGATATTGTTGTGTTGTGGCGTTGGTTGCTGCCTGTGTATAGTCAGCTGCTTTTTTTCCTTCTTTCTTCTCTATGGGATTTCAAATAGCTCAACCATGCAGCCAAAAACTCGCGTAAAATCATACATATATACATATACGTACATGATGCTGTTATTATTGAAAGCTTTCATACGGTAAAGGCTTTTCGACACTAGCACCCAGAGCTTGGAGGTACTCGCGAGAGTATCAGCTGTTCAAAGACCGACTGACCGTCCCCACTACAATTCAATGCATGGATATGCCGTATCGAGATACGTGAGTATGCGTGTATGTACGTTGCTGTCTACATAATACATAATGTATACCCAACTACGAGTGTACTCGTACAGTCGGATAAATCAGCGCTGATGAGCTCAATCGTTTTGGAGTGTGGCGCTGTTCATTTCATTTTTCACTTGAGCCCATTTTCGTTAAGTATTATGCGAAATTGAAGCAATGGATCGACAAAGTGTAGCCGTTCATTTCGCCAAAGTGCATAATTGACAGTAGCCGACTGTTGATTCAATGTGAAAATCAAAGTCCATGCACCCGGTTATGATGAAATAAATAATTATAGCAACAGTTACCAATCGGAGCTGTGAGTCTAAAAAATCGGTAAGTAGTTGTTCGGAAACTCGCGGGCTGCTTCCGTTAATCAGGACACCTAACACTAGCACCGTGCAATTCGAGGGAGGATTAATGCGGCTGCATGTTATTTTAGCGCACGTACATACTACGTAAGTTCGTTTTTTTTTTTTTTGGTCATCGGGTGATCGCTCCAATCGATGGTTTTTTCGTGGGATTGGATATAAAAATATTAGGGAAACGAGGGCATTTTTCCTATTGACTCAAATAAAATGTAATTCGCATGGGTTTACAGAACCATTGGTTACTCAGCGATAGCAAAGGTGTAGGTACCAGACGATCTATTGGTATATAATACTTACTCGATAGTATTTGCGATTTCGTGGGACAGAGAGAAGAAGAAGAAGAAGAAGAAGAAGAAGAAGAAAAAGAAAAGAAAGTGTTTTATTGGATTTCTTGTACCACGCGCAAGTCTGAGTATCCATCGAATTTCTAATTGTACAAAGCACAATGAGTAAACCCATGCAAAGAGTGTAAAATCAACGCCAATACTAATACACATAAATATAATTCAAGAGAAATAACCGGTAAACTCATCGCGATCAGTATAGTAGAGAGCGAGAGGCGGAAATATGGCGAGGGGGGTGGGAGAGACACCCGTCGCGGATGCCTCTACTTATACCTACTAACGGTATATATTATTTTGGCGTCCAAAGACTGCGTGATGCGTGATAACATCTTCTTTGCTGAGTATTTTTTATATTACTTACATAAACGCACAATTACGACTGATATAAAAATTAATGGACTTGCAATTTTTGCCATTTGTTTTTCAACTATACGGAGCTGACACTCGATGGTTTAAAATGTCTCAAAATTTATCATTAGCGCGAGTAAAAAAAGTTTTTCCTGTTTCAAGCGGTCATTGTTAATTGACGCCTGTACCATCGAGGAGAACAATTACGTTACGGTTTTGATAAACATTATGAATAAAATAATGGAAAGAAAGCAAATAGCGTAACCGTGTGCGTACCGAGAAACGAAAGCTCCTGGCTCTCTTGAAGCCCTTCTCGAGCGGCTGGTGGGCGGACGGCTGGTTACCCATTTTTGCGTTTGTCCTCTCTTTTTCAGCTCAGGAGTGCTGGTGGAGGGGTATACCTCACCTATAATACACTATCACGGATCGCAAGCGCACACGCGCGCAAGCTCTGTTGCCACTATACACTACGCCAACTCGTATACATCACACAACAATGAATTTCACAACGTCACTACCATCACCTATAACAATCCGTCTGCGAGCACTCGTGTGTTTCCGTTGCACCGAGGAACCGACGTTTTCAGGATGCACAGTATTCAATTACCAAGTAAAATATTGTATCCTGCATACACAAATATATACTTGTCACCTAACACTTGATAATAAATATATATGTACAAAAGAGCCACTACACGCACATTGTGTTATGACGAGGTACACACCCGCCGGGCCCCCCCGTGTCTCTCTGACAAGACAATAATACAACGTATGTGTACATTATCATCTTCGACTCCTACATATTTGTAAAATACAATGGTGTACCGATTGCCGTAGGTATTAGGTAAGAGTTCCAGGTGGCTCGAGACTGCGCTGCGAAGGCGTTGCGTGAAACCGAGTGGCCACGGACAGGACGGACTATAATTGGCGAACTGCCGGGGCTGAACTTTGAAGGCTTCCCCGATCGACACTGATCTACTTATGTGAAAATGCGGCGCGTCGGCAGGTCTTGGTGCACAGAGTAGGTACCGAGCAGCAGTCCCATGTCGGGCCGACTGGCGGACAACCGTGGTGGATAGGTATATGACACTTGGACACCGTCGCCCTGACGTCAGTGCCACTCGGCAGTGGAGGGAGGGGACTGGAGCCGACACACCTACACAGGTAGTAAGTAACGCGGACAGATCCAACCGGGATCGACAATTATTAATTATATTAATTTATCATCACTTCCACCTATTGAGTGTATGTATAGGTACGCGGAGATAGTTGGTGGACAAACGAGCCAGCAAACAATACATCGATGAGGCGCGCTTGGGACAGCCATGCACTCGGATTTTTCAAACGAAGCGCCACCAAGCTGCGCTTGCGCCCCTCTGCTCGGCTCTGATTGTTATATATTTTTCTGTCTACCGCTACCCACCGATGTGTGTATCTATGTGTGGCACCACTTTAATGTATGACGCTGGAGGGGCGGTCCTGTCACACGTATATGTACGCTCATCGGGGAACCCTCCTCCTCGGTGTGTGTGTGTTGCGTTCCCACGTTTTTCCGTTGGAGCCGTTACGCTCGGTTGGACTCACGCTCCGCTGCCGCTGCTATTGGCCGTTTTTTTTTTCCCCTTTCAACTTGGCCGTGACGCGTCAAACAGTCGAATCGAAAACTCGAGCCGAAGATCGATGTATCGGGCTCCTTCACTTTGGTCGCTCGATGATATCACGATCGGTATCAGTCACGTCCCCGATCGAGCCATCTCCCGACAACCACCCGATATTTTTCCGAGTGGCCCGTTCGTATTCCCATGCGCAGGAGAAGGAAGAGGTTCCTGATGCAGCTACGGTTAATCCATTCGGTAGCAAGAGAGAGAGAGAGTGCCGATCGGTTGGGCGGCTACGGTCACTTCAACTACCGCTCTGCCATCTGGCGGTAAATTCTAATGGGCACTATTTTTCCATGATCGGCCATTCCGGGGCCCAAGCATGCATATAAGATAACCACGTAGGGTCTATCTGATCAAGGAATTACAAATAACAATGATCGCGCTACGTATGAACTACCAACGGGTGGTACCACTACTATGTATACGGCGGGGCAAGGACACACGATTGCTACCCCCAATGACTCCGCGCTGCTCCGTGCGCGGTCCGACCGCGGTGAGTCCGAGCTCCGACTGATGACGGGAGATCGAGCGAGCTGTCGAGCTCCGGGCCCCGAGCTATGAGCGTTGTAGGTATATATAACGTGGTGGAGAGAGCGTCGAGGGATAAAAGTGGGGAGAGAGGGCCCCCTTGCCTTCACTCATACCGATACATTTTATTTTATTTATTTTAAGTATACCTTACACACGCTCACCTCCGATGGTAGCAGGAACGGCGTCGGTACGCCCTGGCGCCCTGGACTCGTTTAACAATGTTTGCCCATTGACGCCCATTCACTGACGACTGACGATCCTAGGTACTTACGACGCTACGGGCAATATATTCAGAATTGAGGGGTTGCAGCGAACATGCGGTATCGTTATCGTTATCAGTCATTCCGGACACCTTTTTTTACTATCACGTGTCGCAACGTATTTGCTTATAAGATTTTTTTAACCCCATTTTTCATTTATACATCACCGCTAATGTAAATGTAGGGATTTTTGTACTACATACGCATGATCATTAATGTCCACCTCGAGCCCATTGTAAATAGGTATTTCCTTTTGTTGTCTACTCACTTGTATCCAACCGTTTGACAGACGCTTATGGTATGCGTATCATTACACCATAGACATTAAATGCGATCGAAATGATTATAGGTACGTTGTTTTATTTTAAATGTTTTTTTTTTTTGTTACAAAATTTCGAAAAAAGCATTTATTGCATTATCTGCCTGAATCCCGTACATCCAAGAGGTACATGCACGTATACGTCTCACTCTCGCATCGATAGGAAAAAAAAAAAAAAAAAAAAAACCACACGATAGAAGACCAACACGAGCCTCAAGGCTCGCAAGTTGGAAAAATTACTCTGCACGGGCGATGATGATGACACGTAGTAGATTGTCGTAATACTAATCGCGCGNAATAAGGCGAAATATGACAATTAAAGAATACAAAACTCAATCTGAAATTAATTAGTAGGTACAAGAATACACACACATGCGTTTTCCACCCATACCTAACACATAAGTCCAATGAGTTGACGGGGTACATGTATACCTACATGGCAAAGGGCAAAGAAGCCCGTAGGCCGAGAGCGAGCCCTGCATCAGGATGCAGAGAATTACACAATATACGCTCGGAGGAAGAAAAAGAAGAGGAAGAGAGTCGCGTGGGTATATGGGTATACGTGTTAACGACAAAGAAGTGTTGGTGGGGAAACGTGAGCAGCTGCTCTGGCTACTGTTGTAAATGAACACGTAAGTATATAATGTGTACATCATACATGCCCCGTACGTATACTGTCGCGCCTACAGGTACACGTATGTATAGGTATCGTACACATGTGGACGAGCGAACGTTAAATACTTGTGCATCTGCTGAGACACAACCGCACTTCCACTTTCAACTCTCTTTCTCTCGTCGCCTGAGTCGCCTGGTCGCCTCTCGTGCTCTTCGTATGTGTAGAAAAAATATACGTGTGTGTACATTATACCTATACATCGTACTGGTCTCTCGAGAGAGAGACGAAAACGAGACGACCGCGCGGGGCAATGTGTGAATGCAGGAACCCAGAGGGAGAAAAAAAAATACGAGAGGGATGAAAGAGCCGGGGAGTTCGAGCTGCTGCTTGGACCGGAGTTTATACGCTACTCGAGTCAAAGTATTTTCCAAACGCCATCCCCGTTTTACCTTCTTGCCCGACATTGCTCATTGTGTAGGTACTAATTGACCCCCCCCCCCCCGAACGCATCAATCGTTTCGCTCATGTAATTAATTTTTCTTTATTATTTATGGCACAGCCACGAATTAAGCTGTAATGGAAATATTTGAGATTACTCGTATAACCGAATATTCTTTCTACCGTTTGACCTCCTTTTCAAAAAAATGAGTAAAAACGACAAGACTTACCAAATCATACAATCCACCGCTGTATCGAGCGGAAATTCATGGCTTTGAATCTGCATCATCTGTAACATACATAGAGCACATACAAATTTTAGTACTCAATGTTATTGATATTAGTAATCATACAACATATATTTTTTATACATATGCCATCTATAATATCAGTACAAACGACAAAATTAATTTAATCAATCGTGTTTTTCATCTCCTGTTACAGGCTGTACAGCAAACAGTGCAACGGACGCAATTCATACCACCGGAATGACACCTATGCCTCATTCTGTCACTCCGCTAGGTGGGAAGATTTACTCCAGATATTTGTCTGTTCGGTACGTAAACTCGACTCACACGTTTCCCAGTTACAGTTTTTCTTTCTTAATAATTTATTAGATAAATGTATTATCGCTAACATTATTTTTAAAAGCTTTTTTTTTATTTCTTCGCATGGAGAGCAAACGAGTATTTATGCGATAGGTATTGTCGATAGTTCTCCCGATAGAGAGAAAAAAAAAGGACCAATCGATTTTTGTCTCACGCTCTCCGATGCAAAAAGTGGCGCCCATAGGTATTCTAATGACCGCTGAGAGTCGGAGAGTGGCCATTCCGCCGTAATTGCACTTTACCGGGAGCTTCGCGACCCCAAGGCTCGTGCAGGTATGAAATGAAAAAAAAGTAAAATTAAAAAAAAAAAGTCACAACAATAATAACCCACAACATAGAAAAGCGGGGACCAGCTTGAGTTTGCCGTATACAATGAAATCCCCGAATATCTTCTTCACAGCAGCACCCGACCGCGTAGTGGCGCCCTGCGTTGAAATTGAAAAAAATAAAATAAAAGAGAGGAGCAAGTACGCGGTGCTTTACGTTGGGCGAGACGCAAGCCCGTTCCCACGACATCCCATTGCTGCTGAGGTGCTTCTATGGGAACGCGCTGCAACATAGGGGTGAACTCTCACACGTACAAGTAAATGTGTATATATATATATATATATATATACACACGTACACGCGTAGTATACAGGGGTGGTCGGNATATATATATTCTCCTCGTATTCACGCGCAGTGCGCGCATTCAAACGTCATTGACATACCTACACTCTACTGTACATGTATGTATGCCTACACCGAGAGCTACCGTAGTTACGCTCTTACACCGACTAAACTCACTTTTATTTGGTTTACGTTGGTATAAGATTTATTTGTGTGTAACTGCAAGTTATATTATGTCTTGACATGTATACCTCTGAGAACATTATAATTTTGCTATTTTATTTTTTTAGCTACCGATTTTCTGGTGTATTATTTTTTTTTTAATTTCATTTCGATAAAAGTGAAACGGCTCAGTGAATTTTAAAATGCGAGGTCCATGACAATGTATGATGTACGTCTATACCTCTCATTACATTTTATCCGTATACACCTATAGTCTTTAACATCACGAACAATACGGTTTTTTTTTTTTTTTTTTTTTTTTTTTCAGACTCGTGCAAGTGTGGGTATGTTTTGTGCACACGCCTACAAACAGGTCACAAAGGCTATTCGACAAAAGTGTAAGAGTCTCGAGCTTCTTCGCACCCCCTTCCCACCCTACTTCAAGGGTCGTTGTTCATCTTTAAGAGTTTGAGAAAAGTGACTCGAGACTGAGCTCCAGACGTAGGCTAGACAACTCCATGCCTTTGCATTTTAATAGATCACACTCTTCTGCTCGCTGCATTACCACGTTTTATTTCACATTATTATTTATTTATTTATTTTATTTTATTTTATTTTTTTTTTAATAAGTAACTGAACATTTACATCTTGATGTATTTTCAGATTTTTTGAAAAACTATCTGTAAGGTTTTTACGTTGACCCATAATATTCTCATAAAAGCCATTTCGATAACGTTTTTAGAGTATCGTTTTAATGGATCAAAGTTTATCTTTTATCAAAAACGATGCAAGTTTTTTTGTCATACAAATATATAAATTAACATAAAAACAACAAACAGATCTTCGAGAGCCCTCTTTGTTGTTTTTTCTTTTCATTATTTTTATTTCCATTTGATACCATACAATAAGGCGAAATATGACAATTAAAGAATACAAACCATAATTAAAAGAAAAACATTAATT